CAGGTATCCGTGAAGGAGACTATTATGCTAAAAGCTGTGATAACTGCCTCTTGAAACTGAATGGTCTGAAAATCAAAGAGAGACCAAAGAACAGAATATGCTAGAGTCAGACTCTGCAGCAGGCACTACATGTATACCACATCACATCAACACTCCACCAATGAGAGAGGAGGAAAATTTGTTCTTGGTAAATTATAATGTCAACTAAAATAATGTTGCTTGATCAGTACAAGATGCATTCAGAACTAATCAACAACCTAGACTTTCATAAAGCCTCTTCAAATTTCCAGTTGGTTTTTGAAATTCTTTTTAGCACGTTAAGAATGTAAAGAGAGGTTTACATGTTCATTCATTATTTTAAGCATTACTAAAGTGTGAATTTTCACTACAAAAATCCTTATTTTAAGGACTTCAACGAGTAGCCAGCAATTCTGCCATAAATATAAGTCATCAAAGGCAATGGTCAAAGGACACACTGGGAGAACTTACAGTTCATCATCTGATTTAAAGGCAGTCCCATTGTAGTACCATTTATAACTAGGTGGAGGTGATCCAAGTGCTTCACAAAGCAACGAATCATCTGATTCAATAGGAATTGAGTATTCACTTGGAGGTTCAGTGGTCCACAGTGGAGGAACTATCAATAAAATTAATCAGAAAAAATAATTAAATGTTGTTTGCAGCTGACATTCTGCTCGCTTGCTTGTTTTATGTGACATTGTGTGAGAATACATGTATGTGTCAATAGTCTCTTTCACGGTTACCTGCGCCATCTTGAAAGGTAGCCGTGCCTTGTCATCGAAGCGAGACAACCGTTGAGCGTGCAATGATACAATGAAACCTTCTTTCACATCTATAGACAATTATTCACAGGTATCTATCATTGCACGCTCAACGGTCGTCTCGCTTCGRTGCAAAGGCACGGCTACCTTTCAAGATGGCGAAGGTATCCGTGAAGGAGACTATTCTCCAGCCCAAATCCTTCTCAGTCTCTCAAAAGAAGTTTGAAGGGTGGAGATGAATGAGTCTTTGATATGATTGATTCAAAAACTTCTATTGCATAATATCATATGACCCAGTATGTTCTCCAATTTTCCATTGCAAAACTGAGATGGATCTGGGTATGAAGAATGTTCAAAGGCAACCCCATGTGATGGCAGGGTCACATGATGGTTGCTTAATGTGTATCGAAGCACRAGTATTAAAGTTACCAGTATTGACAAGTGTCACTTATATTGTATACAGTTATTTCAAAAAACGTTGTCAGGGAGAACAGCGAACGGCGATTTTCGAAGGGAGATTGCATGACMGAAAAGGACTATGGTTACACTGTTTTGATACAAGTAAACAAAATTTCACTTATTGGATTCACCTTACATAGAAATGGAGACTAAATGGATCCAATGTTTAACACAGACTATCTTACAKTATAAGYAAGTTGCTATTGCCTTTCAACTAGCAAAACCMATGGATACTTTSGGTCGTGCAACCTTTCCGACAACCTTTCTTGAAATAGCTATATTCTAMACTAYGTATSTCAGCAAATCTAYGGCTTACCAACTACTTGCAGTTTAGTTGGTTTAGTCTTGTCATCTTTGCCTACTCCATTGGATGCCACACACTGRTAGTATCCATCTTCATGTTGGGTTTTTGACACAGGTTCTATGCGTAGTATCACTCCGTTGTCTTTCAACAAAAACCCACCTTTTCCATTCTCAATTTCTTTCGACTCGGTTTGGTCATTATTAAGTCTTAACCATTTTATTTTGGGTACAGGACTTTTCAAAGGAAAAAAACAGTATAAACAAAGATKTTACTTACTAAATTTATAAATGATAAATTTTATTTTTCAGCTACAGGGGAATCTTTGCTGATGTTTACTCATTAGCATTGTGATTATCATTTCCGTTTTTGCCCAAATATCCACTGAATATCAAAAGAACATGACATAATTAGCTAT